AAGGAGTTTGGAAGCCGCTCTGAGACTCCAAGTGAAGGGCGGGGTATAAATCCAATCTCTTCTTCTTCTTCCCTTCCAGCTCTATATTTCCAAAACTAAAATTGCTAGTAGAGGTGAGGCACTCCATCAACACCACCCCAAGGACAATAACTGGAGGCTCCAAGGAACACCCCGTCTGCCAGCACTAGCCCCGTCCCACCGCCAGACCCTTGGCGTGGGGACGACAGGTCCCTCTTACCCAGTGTGTTGTGGACGCCGTCGGCTTCTTCCTTAACACTTTCATCCAGGCGCTCCAGGTTTTGGACCAGCAAAGCCACCACCTGCCCTTCGACCTGAGTCACAGAAGGGGGAAATGGAAAGGGTGAGGGGTGAAATGCTTGGGGGGGGGGGGCTGAGGCAGAAGCACAAAGTGAGCTGAGCAGACTGCGTGGGGGGGGGGGAGGCAGGAAAGAAATCAGAACATGACAGGAGCAAGAGCAGCTCCAGAGAAAAGTGCTTTTGATCGGGGAACACAATCTCGCTCGCAAAGCTTTCTCACAGCAAACTCCACCACCGTGTTCCCCCCCCTTAATTAATTGGAACAATCTTTCTGTGTCAGAAACAACAGGAAAACATCGGTGGAATAGGAACCTTGTCACAAGCCTGCTATTCCCCAAATCGGGCCTTGATTGACTTATAATCTCTCCCCGAATTCCGAAGTGCCGCGCGGGAGAGCCCGAGTGGGCATCAGCGGCCTGTCAGTTCTGAAAGCCGCTTGCCGCGCCGCTTCAATTGCCGGTTGCCATTTCAGCGGAATCCCCCCCCCCCGCCAACCGCCCGCCTTCCGCTCTGCCTCCCTGCCCGAGCTGTCTGGGAAACGGCTGGAGCGAAATCAGAGGGCCCAGCAATTACACGTAATGAAAGCCTTGGGGAAGAAAGGGAAGGGGGGGGGGAAACGCCACACCAAACGATCACTCCGGCTTTCATTATACGGCCCAGCGCAGTCAGTGTGGCTGAAGGCAATTCCATCTGATTAAAACTGTCTCTCCCTCTCTCTTTTTAGGGTGTTTTGGACGGAGAAAACCCTCATTCCGAGCGGAGAATTCGGGCGACCGAGCACGTCCGCTGCTGCGCCTTGATGGATTTTGCTAATTGGGATTTTTCCGGGGGCAGCGTCTGATGGGCTTCCAAGAGGAGTGTCTTTCAAAAGAAACAGGCAGACAGCGAGTCCCCCCCTCTCCACATCCGAAGCACCGTGCTGGTGCTACAGGGGAGATGCGGGGAGCACCGGGGCCCAGGTATAAGGCCCGGGTCAGGAAAGGAATTCCACCTTCTGGATCCCAGAGCGAGCGGCGCTGGTGGGCGGACTCGCCCTGCCCTGCGACTGGAGTCTGCTTCACTGGCGATGCCGGGAAGGGCACCTGGGATCTCCTGCACGGTGTCGGCTTGGTCAGGAACTCTCAGACGCAATAATTCCTTCAACAGGCTTTATTGAGAAATCAGGAAAGCTGCTGTAAAGTCAGACTCTTTGGCAGAACTGAAGAATATTACAAAGTTGGGAATTACAAGACCTTCGGTCCAACCCTCATTCATACGTCATGATTACATAGTATAGAGACAGGCGGATACAGATTATTACAGTACAACCAGAATGGTGTGAATGTTATCATTTCATGTCTTCCACCCAAGGCCATGAGAATTAGAAACAGGCGAAGTCCCCTCTGGCCCCTGCGGAGAAGACTTCCTTTCACAGTGATGCTAAGCGCAGCTAATCTACAGTCCACACACACATGCCGTATTCCCCCCCCCCTTCAAGAATGTCAGGGGAGGACCGCTTAGACAGCACCCGCAGGTGCACAGAAGTAGCTTGGGAATTATAAGCCTAAAGCATAAAGAGCTCAAGTGGGGTGATTACCAATGTTCCCTCTAAGCTGTGGAGTCTTGTGAGTCAAAAATTCTACTTTGTGAGCTACTGGCATTAAAGTTGTGAGCGAGCTACTTGGCTACTGCATAAGTCAGTTTGCCTTGGAGCCATCCTTCCTGAGCTATGACAAAAATGTGTGAGCTGAAGGCTAAAAAACTGAGCTAGCTCACACTAACTCATCTTAGAGGGAACATTACTACCACTGCATAGCTATGTACACCAGTGAACCACAGTTACAAATACATGATCAATAGTCAGGCTAAGGTCCGATCCTGACATGCGGAAGGGAGGTGCTCCACCAGTGGCCAGTGGCCCATTTCCCCAAAAGCATGCCACACTGAGCCAACGGATGCAACAACAGTAGTCAAACTACACCATGGCCACTGGACACCTTAAACACTACCCCTGACTCTCTCCGCAGGTGAGGGCAGCTTTACGATGGAGAAGAAAAACCACCCTCCTGCTGACAGGTCCTTCCCAGGTGAAAGAGGGGAGGGTGGTAAAAGCAGACACACACACACCCCATGCCAAGAGGAGCGCAAAACAACCGGACACACAGTGACCGCAGCTGGGACCAAACTGGTCAAGATCACACTTGAACACACATGAATCGTAGAATCACAGAGTTGGAAGGGTCCCTAGAGGGCATCTAGTCCAACCCCCCACTCAAAGCAGGGTCAGCCTAGAGCATCCCTGACAAGGGTTTGTCCAGCCGCTGCTTGAAGACTGCCAGGGAGGGGGAGCTCACCACCTCCCTAGGCAGCTGGTCTCACTGTGGCACGACTCTGACTGTAAAAAAAGTTTTTCTTAAGATCCAGCCGGCCCCTTCCCGCCCTTAATTTCAGAAGAAGAAGAGATTGGATTTATACCCCATGGCCCTTCACTACCCAAAGGTGTCTCAGAGCAGCTTACAAACTCCTTTCCCTTCCTGCCCACCACAGACACCCCCTGTGAGGTAGGCGGGGCTGAGAGAGCTCTTGACAGAAACGGCTCTTTCTCAAGGACAGCTGTTATCAGAACTACGGCCTGCCCAAGGCCATCCAGCCAAATGCAAGTGGAGGAGGAGTGGGGAATCAAACCTGGTTCTCCCAGATTAGAGTCCGCGCACTTAACCACTACACCAAACTGGCTAAGAGGAGGAGATTGGATTTGTACCACACCCTTCACTACCCGAAGGAGTCTCAGAGCAGCTTCCAAACTCCTTTCCCTTCCTCCCCACCACAGACACCCTGTGAGGCAGGTGGGGCTGAGAGAGCTCTGGACAGAAACGGCTCTTTTTCAAGAACAGCTCAGAGAGAACTTAAGACTGACCCAAGGTCATCCAGCAGGTGCAAGTGGAGGAGGAGTGGGGGAATCAAACCCGGTTCTCCCAGATTAGAGTCCGTGCTCTTAAACCACTACACAAACTGGCTCTCAACCCATTCTTGTGAGTCCTCTCCTCTGCTGCCAACAGGAACCACTCCCTGCCCTCCTCTAAATGACAGCCCTTCAAAGACTTCAGGAGAGCCATCCTGTCCCCCCTCAGTCTCCTCTTCTCCAGACTGAACATTCCCAAGAAGTCCCTCAGCTTCTCCTCGTAGGGCTTCTTGGTCTCCAGGCCCCCGATCATCCTCGTCGATCTCCTCCACATGTGCTCTATTCTGTCCACATCCCTTTTGAAGTGAGGTCTCCAGAACGGCACACAAGACTCCAGGTGAGGCCTGACCAAGGCCATGTACAGCGGGGACTATGGCATCTTGAGATTTTGATGCTATGCCTCTGTTGATTTTGTTGTTGTTCAGTTGCACAGTCAAGTCCGACTCTTTGCGACCCCATGGACCAGATCCCGCCAGGCCTTCCTGTCTTCCGCCGTCCTCTGAAGTTGGCTCAATTTGATGTTCGTTGCATCTATGACACTGTCTAACCTTCTCATCCTTTGCCGTCCCCGTCTTCTTTGGCCTTCAATCTTTCCCAGCATCAGGGTCTTCTCCAGTGAGTGCTCCCTTCTCATTGAGTGGCCGAAGGATTTGAGCTTCAGTTTCATTATCTGGCTTTCCGGGATTGATTTCTTTTAGGATGGACTGATTTGATCTTCTTGCAGTCCAAGGGACTCTCAAGAGTCTTCTCCAGCACCATAGTTCAAAAGAATCTATTCTTCGGCGCTTGGCCTTCCTTATAGTCCAACTCTCGCAGCCATACATGACTACTGGGAATACCATTGCTTTGACCATGCGGACTTTTGTTGGCAGGGTGATGTCTCTACTTTTTATCATGCTGTTTAGGTTCGCCATCGCTTTCCTCCCAAGGAGCAGGCGTCTTTTAATTTCATGACTGCTGTCACAGTCTGCGGTGATCTGGGATCCCAGGAACGTGAAGTCTGTCACCACTTCCACGACTTCCCCTTCTATTTGCCAAGGAGTGAGGGGGCCGGATGTCATGATCTTAGTTTTTTTGACGTTGAGCGTCAAGCCTCTGTCGATACAGGGAGGCATAACATCCAAGCTGCTTTCTACTGACTCAGACACACACACCCCAGTCCATCAGAGTCAGTCTTTTCCTACCCAGACTGACAGCGGCTCTCCAGGGTCACAGGTTGTTGCCTTTCCCATCACCTACTGGCTCATCACTTACCACAAGAGGTGCCGGGGACCGAACCCGGGACCTTCTGCATGCCAAGCAGCTGCCCTTCCACTGAGCCACGGCCCCTCCCCACCCTGTGCAGCGACTTATTGCAGACACAAAGTGGGGGGGGGATGAGAAAGAGGATGGCTTCCCTCCCGCCAGGCATCAGTATCCCTCTAGCCTCGACTGAAACCAGGGAGCCAGACTGCGAGCAAGAACGCATCCTTTGCTAAATGCAGTCCGACAGCCGGCAGAGTTCAATCTTAACAGCATTTTCCAGCCAGAGTCCACTGGCAGCAGGGCCCCCTCCACTCAAAGCAGAGAAGCGCTCAGCTCGTTCTGGAGAAAAAGCCCCCGAGTGGACTGAGCTGCTTCTGATGTCTCACTCAGGTCAGCGGTTGATACAGAGACACCGCGGCACAGCACCTCTCTGGATCTCCACTCAGATAGAGGCCGCTCGACTCTGACAGGAAGCGCCTGGTTTCCCCCTTTCCCCCAAAGACCAAATCTCAGAGGGAAGGCTGGAAGAGAAACCACGAAAAGGGATACGAGGCTGGAGACAACCTTTCCGGGACCGACTCAGACCTAGGAGTGGACTCCTTGTTCACGGACGTCCAGGGCCCACCCCAGGGAAAGATCGGAGGTCTCCGGAGACACATGACACCAGTGGACTCCCCTGGATCCCAAGGCCTTGGTCAAAGGCCTCATAAAACCTGCTGGGTCAGAAGAGACCTGCTGGGTCAGATCAGTGGTCCCTCTAATCCAGCATCCTGTCTCACTCTGTGGCCAACCAGTTCCTCAGGAGGGCCAACAACAGGGCAGAGAGGCCGAGGCCCTCATAAGAACCTCAGAAGAGCCCTGCTGGATCAGACCAGTGAGGGTCCATCTAGTCCAGCATCCTGCCTCACACAGGGGCCAGCCAGTTCCTCAGGAGGGCCAACAACAGGGCAGAGAGGCCGAGGCCCTCATAAGAACCTCAGAAGAGCCCTGCTGGATCAGACCAGTGAGGGTCCATCTAGTCCAGCATCCTGCCTCACACAGGGGCCAGCCAGTTCCTCAGGAGGGCCAACAACAGGGCAGAGAGGCCGAGGCCCTCATAAGAACCTCAGAAGAGCCCTGCTGGATCAGACCAGTGATCCATCTAGTCCAGTCTCCTGTCTCATACAGTGGCCAACCAGTTCCTCCGGAAGGCCAACAACAGGGTGTAGGATGTGTGTGTTTGTGTGTCTCGATGGGTCATTCTGACTGTAACCTGTCCTGTCAATCCAGTATGCATTCCCTCCCCCCCAAAAAAACAACAACCCACAAACTGCCTGCTCTGTCTGAGGCTTGGTCGCAGATGTCTCTGTCGCAGCTTTCAATTCCAGCTCCCACTGATGAGACTAGATGACCCCTAAAGGTACCACTGCCTCTCCAACTGCGGGCATCTCCGCCATCTGATATCTGAAAAAAAAACCTCCCCGCAACACCGTCTTAGCGGGCTGCTATACAGACCCTCCTCTCCAGAGAGTAATTACATCCCTGAAATAAAAAAAGGAGCCATTCAGAACTCCCGACGTGACCTGTTTTGTTCAAGGGGGACAACAATAATATTTAAAAAAAAAACAAAAACAAAAAACCCACTCTCCAGGTCGGGTATTGACAACAGCCAGGCAGAAAGGAAGGCAGACAAAAAGAGAGCTTTTTTTGTCCCGGCTTCTCAGCTAAAGAGATTCAGGATGCATCCTCTCCACCGTCAACCCCCCCTTTCTTCCCCCCCATCATTCAAGCCAACCCTTGTAACGGGGAGCCGGTAATTAAAAGAACGCAGAGGCCAGTCAGAGCAACTCATCCAGGTCAACTGTAATTAACCTCTGAAAGGGAACATCTCAGCCACGGAACCAGAAAGACTAGCCGCCCCCCCCCCCCTCACAATCTCGGCTGTGCCACCAGAGGCCTACTAGGCCCAGGGAGCCTGGCTAGCAGTAGGTGAGGGTGGGCCTACAACTCCCAGAAACCCCTGAGGGGTTTTGGAGCCAAAACAGACCAATAGGAAAAGAGGAGGGCTTGGAATAAAAGATCTGGTGCCGCAGGAAGAGCTGTTCTTCCCAGGAGACAGAGCCAGAAGGGACTGAGGCTGCGGTGGGGGAGAGACCCTCATCCTGAGGGAGGGGTGAGCAGTGTAAGGCCACTTGAGATAAGTGAGCTAGGGACAGTATCTATTTAGACGCGTTAGGGCATTTGATTTCTTTTCTTTTCACCCACTTACTGTTATATTTCTGCACCTTGTTGGTTTGACCTCTTATACAATAAACTATTTTCACTGTTCACTCTGCCTGGTCCTCACGCCTAGTATTCGGCCAAAAGGGAGGTCAGAAGGTCTTGGGAGGGTGCTCTGGGCCTTCTCAAGGGATCCTAAATCCAGAGTGGTGGCAGCGTCAGGTGACCCCCCACCTGAGCCGTGACACCCCCAAACTGACAGTCCCCCCCCCAAAAAAAAGAGCCCTGGACTGCTCCAGAAAGGCAACCGTTCCCCGAGAAGCCGCTTGCAAAGAGGACGGGAAATGTCTGGTCAGCTGCTAGGGGGGGTCAGCGGGCATCCTTCCCTCGCCCCGTGTCTGCTCTGTGGCTTTTTGCCCCCAAGCGCCGGCAAAATCCTCCGGAGGAAAAGGAGAGAAACGCCCTGAAGCTGCCAAAGGAGAAGGAGCTTGACCTGGGATCCTGCTGCTGTTCCGCTTGCTACGAGACAGAAAGGAAGCCGATGGGAAGGAAGGGACAGAGAGGGAAGAAAAGAGAGCCAGCGTGGTGCCGTGGTTCAAGGGTTGGACTAGGATTGGGGAGACCCAGGTTCGAATCCCTGCCCTGCCGTGGAAGCTTGCCGGGTGACCTTGGGCCAGGCACACTCTCTCGGCCTGACCTACCACACAGGGTTGTAGTAAAAGCCAGGGCTTTTTCAGTGGCGGCTCCACACCGGTGGAATGAGCTCCCTGAGGACATCAGGGCCTTGCGGGACCTCTTACAGTTCCGCAGGGCCTGAAAGACGGAGCTCTTCCGCCAGGTCTTCGATTAGGGAGCCGCACCCAAGGAACTGTAGCCCTGGCCCAACACTAACATCATTGTCAACAGCCAGTTAACCCAGACTGTGCTATCGGCCAGCTGTGGTCTGAGGATGCTGCTGAGCCCGCCATCTGACATAAACTAGCGCTTTATATTTTATAATATTCTTAACTGTCTTGCTCTGTTTTTATCTAATTCTGTTTTAACTGTTATGTATTTTATGCGAGCCGTCCTGAGCCTGATTCGGCAGGGAGGGCGGTATGTAAATAAAATGAATAAGTAAATCAGAAATAAATAATAATAAGACAGGATATACATGAACACACAAATTAATAAATAGAACGGCTACCTTATTCCAGCTTCCGGTAACCCCCAAAGCTCAACAAGCAACGGATTAGGGAAACGGCGGGCTCTGGGGGGCCCACCCAGGGCTCCCTCCCCCTCCCAGGAAATTCTCCCCATCTTTCTTTGGCACGCCACTCCGGCTTTCCATGCGAAGGCTGAACAGTGCCGGGCACGGGGCTGAGACCCCCCTGCAAGGCACTAATGGCTTGCCTTGGAGAAAGGAGTTAACTTAACAGGGTCCGGAGAGATAATCAGAAACTGTCATGCAGGGAAGTAGGGGGTGCATGCTCTCGGGAAGCCCAAAGGCCGAGGAGTACCACCTCCGAAAGTGGAGGAGGACGCCCAGACGGATGAGCGGTGGTGCTACTTACCAGGGCATCTATGAGGACCTCTGCTCCTTCCTCACTCTCGTGGAGGGTGTCAATGTCCGTCAGCTCCTGCAGGAGATCCACTACGGCTATAGACACATGTAGAGGCGTTAAGGAGAACGTAAGAGCACATGAAGAGCCCTGCCGGATCAGAGCAGTGAGGGTCCATCCAGTCCAGCCTCCTCTCTCACACAGGGGCCAGCCAGTTCCTCTGGAGGAACAATAACGAGGACCTAGAGGCCGAGGCCTTCACAAGAACATCAGAAGAGCCCTGCCAGCCTCCTGTCCCACACAGGGGCCAACCAGTTTCTCTGGAGGGCCAGCAACAGGGCAGAGAGGCCGAGGCCTTCATAAGAACATTAGAAGGGCCCTGCCAGCCTCCTGTCCCACACAGGGGCCAACCAGTTTCTCTGGAGGGCCAATAACAGGGCAGAGAGGCCGAGGCCTTAATAAGAACATCAGAAGGGCTCTGCTGGATCAGACCAGTGAGGGTCCATCCGGTCCAGCCTCCTGTCTCACACAGTGGCCAACCAGTTCCTCTGGAGGTCCAACAACAGGGGAGAGAGGCCGAGGCCTTCATAAAAATATCAGAAGGACCCTGCTGGATCAGAGCAGTGAGAGTCCACCTAGTCCAGCATCCTGTCCCACACAGAGGCCAGCCAGTTCCTCTGGAGGTCCAACAACAGGGGAGAGAGGCCGAGGCCTTTTCCTGATGTTGCCTCCTGGCACTAGGATTCAAGACTGACTGCCTCTAAATGTGGAGGCTCCCTTTAGTCACCATGGCTGAAGGCCACTGATAAAACTCCCATACATGAACCTAATTCCCTTTTAAAGCTGTCTAATTCCCTTTTAAAGCCCCTTTAAATCCCTTTACACCAGGGATTTTGCCTTCCACAACCGTTCTTGTTCCTACATGAGTTTTCTTACAATCCTTAGATATGCTTTTACGATTGCAAAGTTGAATGCTTCCCCAACGACAGAATTAATGGGACGGTTTACCAAAATCCCATATTCGGACCGATTATGTGACTGTGCATCAGGTGCAAAATAGACACCAGACCCTTTTTTATTATTCTGTCACCACTGGAGAGTCCCCAGATCCCAATGGATTATTCCAATCTTGTTGAAAGATCAACTTCCCGTGGAATCCTGGGTGATTTCCATTACCGTCAGATTTCGATCCTGAAATAACCCATTCTGTGGCAAAATATCTATCAATAGTGGTCTCTCTAAAACGCTGTTGAAATGTGCCCTGTTTTTAGTCATAAAAGACCTCCTAGAATCATGGCGTTGGAAGGGATCTCCAGGGTCATCTAGTCCAACCCCCTGCACAATGCAGGAAATACACAAACACCTCCCCCCACATACACACCTAGATCAATCTAGAACTTAGATATTGAGAAGAAGATTGGATTTCTACCCCGCCCTTCACTACCCAAAGGAGTCTCAGAGCGGCTTACAAACTCCTTTCCCTCCCCCTCCCCACAACAGACACCCTGTTAGGTGGGTGGGGCTGGGAGAGCTCTGACAGAGACTGCTCTTTTTCAACAACAGCTCTTATCAGAACTACGGCTTGCCCAAGATCATCCAGCTGGTGCAAGTGGAGAAGTGGGGAATCAAACCCGGTTCTCCCAGATTAGAGTCCGCGCACTTAACCACGGCACCAAACTGGGGACGTATATTTATCAAACCCTACTTTCGTCTGTTTTAAATTTTATCTATATATCTAAATTCCCAACTTGCCCCCTCCGTGCGTGTTAAGTCGTGCGCTTAACAAAGAGTCGGAGAGTGATTTCAGCAAGAATGCGGTTTATTCTTCAGCTCAGTTACTTCTCCGTTACGGCACAACAATCGCCAGCCAGAACCCATCAAAGTATTTACACTGGCTTGTCGATATTTAAACACACCCGGCTAATGTAGCCACACCCCCTGTACAGATAACAACCTATGAGGTTGAAGATACAATACCCAATCACAAGCCGTCCCGCTTTTCATAGTGATTGGTAGACACTCTCTGGGCTAGGACTCCTATTGGTTACATTAGGATCCTAGCCCAGGCTGAAGCTTAACATTAAGTTCCAATGAGGCGATTCGCATGTCAGTATTTACATTCAAGTCAATACATAACAGTGCGGATACTTAAATCAGCACGGAGGGGGCAGCTGGGGGGCTGGGGGGGGTTTGTGTACATGTGGGCCAGTCCCCACGTGTGCACAAAAATAAAAAAAGTTTTAAAAAAATTCGGGGGGATGTTAAAATCCCCCCGAAAGTGCAAGAGCGTCTCCTGCGCGTGCGCAGGAGACGCTCTGCGA